ACTATCTCCAGCTGGATTACATATATGTTAGAAGAAAGTTGAATGTAAATGTGGTAGTGACATTTTTGGGCTTATAATGTCTTAGCTTCCTTTGTAGCAAAAACAGTTTTAAAAAACCCATGTTGAAAAAGAGGGAAAAAGTTAGGACTTGTTACTAATCTCGTGGCTGAATAATTAAGTGTGCCTAATTCTGAAAGTAGCAAGCTAAATTATGCAGTGCCAAAAGTGACAACTCTCATACCTACACCATCCCATCTACAGCGGCATGATTTTAGCTTTATAGCTAAAAAACCCTGCCAGAAAACCTAATAAAAGGAAGCAAAAATATTTCTGTTTATATCAAGCTGCCATTTGAGAAAGATTTTAAAATATGTTCTTTCCTATGTGTAAATTTGACAGCAGATGCATAATTAAAATCCCAGTGGAGAGTTTCCATTTAATCTTTTCAAAGTTAACCGACAAACATTCTTTAGGATGTGAAGTGATGGGTTAATTCTCTTTGGATTGTTTGGAATATCTCTGAGCTGGAATACTGCCTTCAAGAATATTGTTTCATGCTAAAAGAACATAAGACACTATCTCTGTCTTTAGTTCATAGAATCACAGGATGTGCAGACGACAAGGCCAAGGCCACACATGCATCTGTGATGAGTGATGGTTGTCTTAGATGTTTGTTAATTGGGGAAATGAATACAAGGATATATTCACATTAAAACAAACTAGATTTCAACCCCTAGGGAATATGTCACATAGCGTAAATGGGAGAAATAATAATTACCCAGGATTTCAGTTCAGTATAAGCAATCACTATGAATAACTCAGACTACAAAGTGGATTTTTATTTCGCTTGAGTTATTCAGATTAACTTTCTACACAGCCTAAACGACTGCTGAATAATCACAGGCAAAATTTTCCACTGGTACTGCACTGTGTAGACACACGTGTATCTACACGATTGCAAACTGGCCAGCTGTGGATACAGGACCCTGTTCAAACCAAATGTCAGGATAAACATTCTACATCATCATAGTGTTCCATGTAACCTTGAGTACACACAGCCATACCTGAACCTTTCATTATATCTTTGACCAGGTGAAAAAGCCCATTCCTGCCCCTTCTTCCCCACCTCTATAAACATGTGCTCCCAAGAGTGTGTGTGCCTTCATGCATACACACATGCACACACTTGTGCACACATACACACACTGGTGCAAAAAAGGGCAGAAAGCAAGTGACTTCTGTCCTTAGATCCCAGTTTGCCAGAAGTTCTCTTACTTGTTAGTGCCTCATCTCTGCCCTTTATGCTGGCTCTTGCCTGACTAGCTAAGACCTGCCAGATGCTTCTAACTTGCCTGACCTATAAGATCTGTCTGATCCTTCAAGTTTTCTCTGGAGTTAATCAGTTGATGACCTGACCAATAGACCAGCAGACCAGTCCCTGGCCTGGTCACACACACACAAACACGCACACACCCACAAACACACACACACACACCTCTCTCTCTCTCTCTCTCTCTCTCTTTCTCATTCAGACAGACAGACACATATCCTTTATTAAATACTTTAGTTTCAAACAAGAATGTTCCCACCAATTATATGCATGAAATTGGTGGATACTGCACAACTTGGTTTCTGGACCTAGCTGAGCCCCTCATTAACTGTGTGACCATTGACAAGTCCCCTAACCCTGTTGCCAAATGAGATTGGGCCAAAGGTCCCTTTCTTGTTCTAATCCTCTTCAGTGAGGATGGCGAAGATATGTTGCTCATAAATGCTGTGATCCAGCTGCCCATATTGGAATATGCCTTAATCTTGCCATGTAGAATAAGCTTTAACCTTTCAAAATATAGCCTGATACACACAATCATGTTATGGAATGAATGGAAGGGAAGATTTTCTACACTAAAGTCTAGGTGAATAATATAGCTGGGTCTACAACACACACACACACACATATCCTTTTGATTAGGCAGTATACATAGCTGAACCAAATCATTTTGTTCCCTTGAATTCCATGGCACTATGTGAACCATATACACTGTGATACTCACTCATCAAATAAAACTGAGTATGTGCTAATTTTCCTCTTCATTGGATAAAGAGGCAGATAAAGAATCCTGATGGCCCATTGTGGACTGAGCTTTGGCTCCCTGATATGTTGAACCCATAAAAGCATCAATAATAATAATAATTGTCTCTGAAGATTTAGGCCATTTAAGAGAAAGGAACTATGTAAGCAGAAGAGAAACTGACCTGTGCAGATCTTTACTTAAATCTCAGCCAAGTGCATTTTGTAAAGAGAAGGCTGAAATGCCAATTACGCTACTTGGAGATTCAGCAGAACTTATCTGACTGATGGAAGTGACCAATTTGAACCACTGACCCCAGTAGGGTGATAACCAGCAGAAACTCTGCTACCTGTGTGGCTGTCTTGGCATTCTCACAGAGGGCTAGTTCAATCCTGAGGCTGGTTTGAATGTTTCCCTGCAGATTTTGGAAGCAACATGCTGGGTCACTCGTAACATAACCACATGCTTCAGTGTAGCCCTCCTACATTGCTTGCCTACATCTGAAAACACAAATCAAGAAAGAGAGTATAGTTCCTTTCCACTTGACTAAAGAACAGCCAATCCTGCCAATAGACTACAGGCTGGGGCATGGAACAATTTCCCAACACACTGACTTGATTTTGTGCAAATTGCTGAAAGAGAAGCGTTAGAAGCTGTGGCTGGGCTCAGAGTCAGTGCCTCCAAAGAGGCACCAAACGACAGATTGATGGAACTCATCAGAGACCACAGGTCATTGGAATGGGGACTTATTTGGATGGACTCATGGCCCAAAAACGAAAGGGACACTACCAACAGCTTCCCCTTTAGCCTGTGGGTTCCATTAGGAAGCTGGAACATGTCACTGGGGAAAAAAATGCTGTGACCACCCAGTATGTGCAGAGGTGCCTCTAGGTGGAAGAAAGGGAAAGGGCATGTTTACAAAACGAAGAGCACAGGTCAACAATGAGCTATGGATGCATGATGTCATCCTCCAGGACTAAGCATCCTTAGTACTTTTAAAGCACTTTAAAAAAAAAAGAAAAAACTCTAGTTGCTATAGCAACTTGATGCAGCTCTTAAAAGGGGATTTTGTTTTTTGAGGGGGTCATTTTATATCTTCTATCACCATAACAACATGATATAGCTTTTTAAAGGGTATTTTTATCCAATTTGTGTGTGCTTTGGACTTGGGCCATATTTGCCTTTTCTATTTAAAATAATCAGATCAAGCATGACACATGAAAAATCATTGAAGGCAAGGAATTGCTTTCATAGACTATACATATACACTTAGAGAGACATCTCTAGCTGCTCATATGCTGCACATGGAGGCAGCCTCTCTCCCTGCCTCCAAGCAGCCATCTGCCATAGCTTACCCTGGTCAGTTACAGTCCATGCCTCTGTCTCTGAACTGGCATGCTAAACCACTCCAGAAGGTGTGTCTTTGAAATCCTCACGTCTCAGCCCAGCAAATCCAGCCCCCTCCTCCAAAACTGCACAGCAGGAGACAGTGCCTTGGGGTGACTAGAGGTGTGACCAGCCAAGTGCGTTCTTCCATCTTGGGATTCAAAGCAGGAATGGGGGACACACACATCCTTGTCAAGGTAATAAGCTTGTATTTCTGCTGCACCCCATACAGGTGAGTAACTGAGGGTGGAGGCTTTGTTTCACATGACACCCAGGGCCCAGGGAAAGTGGGGGATGGGGAAAGTGAGTGAGAGGAGAGGAAAAAAAGAGGAAGGAAGGGGTGGATGGAGAGCAGTGGTGGCTCCAGAATTTCTCCACAGCAGCTCAGAGGCAGCAATCTGGCCACAAAGAGAGGGGTGGGGGCTTGAAGGACTATTTACACAGCATTCTTCATAAGGTTGAGAAAACATGAACTGTTTATATCCCAAAATATAAGAGATGATGGAAAGAGATGAGATGGGAGAAGAGATGATGGAAAGAGTAGGGGAACCATCCCTGCTCCCAGCTACCCCTTGCTACCACTAATGGTTGGAAAAAGTGCAAGGGAACAAAGAAAAGGTCAAGAAATTGGAGAAAAGGCTGGGAGTTGGGGGAGAGGAGAATGAAGGGAGACAGAACAGCAGCAGCCGAAGTCCTGGCCTCAGGCTAACGGGCTTTACTTTGGGGGGCGCGTGGGGGGCGGTATGGATTATAGGAGTAGCAGGTGGGAAGGAGATCTAGGGAAAGTGATTCTGGGGCAAGTGGTCCCCCTCTCCAGGGTAAAGGAGTTAGAGGCCACTGGAGGTGGGAAAACACAGGGTAAAAGAAGAAAGAGGGAGAGACTATGAAAAGAAATAAAAGCACTGAGGGTGGAGGGAGAAGGGGCTTTTGAGATAATCCTGGGAAGGAAACTGAGGCCCAGGGGTTGTGGATGGAAAATAGGAAAGAACCCATAGCCCTTGGCAGGTATTCTTAGAGGAGAAAACAGAGGCTCACAGAGGTCAGGTCACGGAGCCGGACAGTCTCGGAACGCAGGCGGCGCGGGCTCTCCCCATTCAGCCACACCGCCAGGCGAGTTACCCGGGGTGAGCGCCAGAGGTGGGCTTTCCTTCCGCACCGAAAGCCGGGAAAGAGAGAGGGCGGGGGCGGGCGGAGAAGAAAGGGCGAGACAAAAGTAGGCAAAGGGACATTAGAAGAGAAGGGCGAGCCGAGGGACGCAAACCGAGCGGCCGAGCAGCGGAAAGGGCAGCAGGTGAAAGGTACGGAGAGGAAAGACGCGCGGAGGGCGCGCCGCTCACCTATGGTTGACACCACGGTGCCCACGAAGTAGAAGGCGCCCGGGAAGTCCCAGCGCGGGCGCAGCGCGTCGGCGCGGACGCCGGCGGCCAGCGCAGCCTCGTAGTGCCGGAGAAAGGCGCGCAGCTCCGGCTCGGCCACGCCGTGCGCAGCGCTGAAGTTGCGCAGCGTGGCGCCCCAGCGCGCCCGCGCCTCCGCCTCGCCGGGGCTCTCGAGCGCCGAGAAGACTGTGGCACCCGCCACTAGGTAGAGGCCGATGAGCGCCGCCAGCAGCACGAAGCGGCCGGTGTCCTCGTTGAGGTGCGAGCGGCGGCAGCAGCAGCAGCAGCAGGAGGGGCGCGGCAGGCGGCGGCGGCTACGGCGGGGCGGGGGCCGGGGGCTGCGGGAGGACATGGTCCGGAGCTCAGCCCCGGGGCCGAGGCGGCGCTCGGGGCCCGGGCCGCGACATCCCCCCGGCGGGAGCAGGAGCGTGAGGATGGTGGCCAGGGGTCCGGGGCCGCCGCGGAGCCCCTCGCCGCCTTCCCAGAGCCCGGACGGAGGGGCGCCTCCGCCTCCTCCCGGGCGCTCAGGCCACACGCGAGTCTTGCGGCCCAGCGGGTGCCCAGGCAGGGGCGCTTGTCTCCGCGCCCCGACGCCTCGCCGGCTCCTGCGGCTCCTTACCCGCCGCCCTCGGGCGCGGGGCTCCGCAGCTAGGCCCCTGCCGCCCCGTGGCCGGCGTCCGCGGGGCCCCGGGCCTCATACTCCTCTCCAAACAGGCCGCGGGCTGCGGGCGGGATGGGCCGTGGAGCCCGGGCGCCTAGGACCGGGACGCTGCAGCCAGGCACGGAGAGAGCCCCCGGGGGCGTCCCATGAGTCGTTCGGGCTCGGCGGCTCCTATGTGCGGGTTGCGCGGGCAGTCCTGCTCCCGCCCCCGGAGCTGAGCTGGCGGCGTCGGCTTCGGAGCCTCGGAGCCGAGCCGAGTCCGGGGAAGCGCTCCTTTCTCAGCTCTAGCCGAAGAGCCGCCCGGCAGGGAGAGGCGGAGTCACTGGCGCCCGGGGCGGGGTGTGGGGAGGGGTGAGTAGGGACGGGAGGGAGGGGGTGGAGAGTTGGGCTGCTGCGATGCCTCCCGGTGGCTCTGGTGGCACTGATGCAGGGCATCGGAGCAGGTGTCCGACTGCGGTGCTGGCTACCACCCCGCTGGGGAACCTCGTCTTGCCCCTCCCTGCGCTTCTTCTCCGGAGTCTCTCTCTTATCTCAAGCCGCGGTGAAACTTTGCTTAACTTGGTGGTGCTCCGAGGTCTCCAGGGCTGGGGGCCGCGCGACGCGAATCCCCGACACTGGGTTCTCGGGCTCTAGTCCGAAGTTTAAGTTCCTCCTTCGCTAACTCATTTGCTCTGGATAGAACCGCGGCGCCAGGAAGCAGCGGGTTCCATTGGAAACCGGGAATCGGGAAGAGGCGATCGCTGGGCTCCGAGCGACCGGGGAACGAGGGCGTTTTCTCCCCCTCCCGACCGAGCGGGCGGCCGGCGTCAGCACCGCGGACAGCGCATCGGTGCGGCAGCTGCGGGCTGTCGCGAGCAGCTAGGGTCGCAGGGATCCGAGGCCGGGGCGAGGCTGCTCACCCCGATGCGCTGTGCTCCTCAAACCCTCCCTGTTTTCCCTTCTACCTTCCATGTGCACCCCCCACCCGCCACCCGAGGCAGGTGCGGTCGCTGAAGCAGACTGCTGACAGGGCGGGGACGCTGCGGAATAGAGACGGGGGAGGAGTCAAGCGCGGGTGGGGGACCAAGGTGCCACGGGTGGAGAAAGCGCCCAGGGGACTGCCGGGCTCCTCTCGCCACCCCAGCTCACCGCCTCTCTAGCCCGGGGCAGGGAATAATACCCTGGCTGCAGTAGACAGTAGAGGAATAGAGGAGGTATAGGGGAAGCTCCAGTAGCAGCTCCCCTGAGGCCAGCGCGGGGGCTATGGAACGCCCCGGGGAAATGGTCGCCCCCTACGCCCCACCGCGGCAGGAAAAGACTGCAGATGTCCCGCGCGGCTGCGGGCGCTTCTCTGCTGGGCACAAGCAGGATTTGCCGGGGCCACAAAGTTCTGGCGAGCAACACCCTCAGTATAGGCAGAAAATCATCCTCTTCGGGCAGCCAGCTCCTTCCCTGTCCTCCCCCTTACTATAGACTGCAGGAAGAAGGACCCTGGTGATGATATGGTGGCAGAAAATAAAAATAACAACGATGGCTATGCTTGGATATCCCAGGTGGGTGAGCGGTGGCAAAATGCAGACTCCTGCCCCTTGCCTCTCCGCCACCCCCCGCCCCTGCCACTCACCCATTTCTAATCCAGGGCTGTCTGGCTTCCAGAATAGGAAGGATTCCAGGCTAAGGTCAACCCAAAGGGGTGGTAGCAGCGCCAGTCAATTATGGGTCACAGTACTAAAAGTACCACTCACTGAGCATTTCACACCTTTGAAACCAGGGCCGGTCACAGAATGAGAGGTGGGCTGCAGGACAGGAGAGCTGCCCAAAGCTGAAAGGCATCTGACTTGGGATGTTGATTGTCCCAAACCAGGGGGCTTTGGAGATTGGGTCTTCTCAGATATGCTGCTCCAGTTTATAGATGGAGCCAAGTACACTTTCCTCTGTATTATGGAGAGATGGGTAGAAACTCCACCACCACCACCATATCAGAACTAGGCTTCCTGGCACTGGATAGCATGTGGCTAGTTTTGCAGGGCTCTTCTTAGAATGGCACCAGGGTGTCTCTGTGTGAGGGGGAGAATATCTTATCCACCAAGAAAGCTGAACCAACCTCTTTTCTGGAGCACAGTACAAGGTGTATACAAACACAAAATTGAGTTATTGCAGACTATTGTTATTATTGCCAAAACCAAGTCACCTCTTTCTCCAAGGCTTTGCCTCCCCTGGACTCTCCACAGATACTGCTCTAGGCCCTGTTCCCCCAGTAACCCCATTCTTATAGCTTCAGCACACAGTGAGGACAGCCCTGTCATGGACCTCTGGGGCTGGATTCCACTTGGCTGGTCAGCTCTTGACAGAAGCCCTGAGAAGTGTCATTCTAGGAGTTATCCTGGAGACTCCAGATGTAACTGAAGGGCATTGCCAGGCTTCTCAGAGGCCGTCTTTGCCCAGACTCCCAAAGCAGAGACAGGGTGCTTCACTGCAGTGTTCCCTGCCTCTGGGACCAGTTCCTTGCCCAGTTGGCAGAAGGCCTGTCTTGTCCTCCAACTTGCTATTTTAGCTTGATTAGCAGCAAATTTCTGGCATCAATCTCAGCTCTGAATGACCTAATCAATTTATGTAATAGGGAAATGATGAGTTCCCTGCACACAGGCACAGGATTTTTAGGGAACCAGCCCTGTGATGAATGTGGTGTTTGCCCACTAAATCAATATTTAAGCTACTGACTTCCAGCTGGCTATGCTCAAAACTTTTATCCCAGCCCTGAATTGCTGCAACAGACACCCAAGGACGAGGGCTTCCTTAGTTTCTCTTCACTTAGGTCCATCCTGCCTGCACTTGCCAGTCCTCACTGTGATCATGCCCATCTGATCTGATCATGTGATTGATGTATCAAAACTAGTCTCCAATGCCCCCTAAAGCTATCAAAATGTAATCTTTAAACCCTTGAGGATGCCATTCAAAGACCTTGATGAGGTGATTTCTAACAAATCATTCCAGCCTCATCTTCTATTAACTTTTACTTATTCCCCATGTACTCTATATTCAGCCCAATCACCAGGCCTTTACTTGTGCTGTGGCCCCTACTAGAGCACCATCTTCTCTCTTCTCTCCAGTTCTTTACAAAAACCAGCTCAACTCTGGTTAGACATTTTTTCAAGAAAGTTTTTCCTTTGTAGGATATTTTGAGCCAATCACTTCAATGCCACCTTTTCAACTCCATGATTATTGAATCTGCTATGCATGCAAAAATTCCTGATTAAGACATGCAAATAGGTACAGCCTCTCTTTCTCTTTTCTGTATCTCTCTATGTCTTTCTGCCATATATATATTACATAAACATAATATAGGAGTGCTAGCCAAGAAAATTAGGTAAGGTCAAATGCAACCAATTGACAACTCCAGTCCTAGGTATATACCCAAGAAGATAAGCAAAAATGTACCTTCACAAAAACTTGTATGTGAATATTCATAGCAGCATCATTCATAATAGCCAAAAAGTAGAAAGTGATGAAACTATAAGTCCATTACCTGATTAATAATAAATACAATGTAGTATATTTATACAGTGACATATTTGTTAAGAAGAAGGAGTAAGTACTAATATATACCACAGTGTGCATAAATCTTGAAAGCATACTAAATAAAAGATCCCAGTCACAAAGGATCATATAGTGTATGATTCCGTTTGTATAAAATGTCCAGAATAGAAAAATCTATAAAGACAAAGCAGCTTAGTGGTTGCTTAGGGATGGGGGTTCAGGAGAATGGGAGTGTCTGCTAATAGGGATGGAGTTTCTTTTGGAAGTAATAAAATTGTTCTAAAGTTGATTGTGGTGATGATTGTTCAGCTCTGTAAATATACTAAAAAGCGTTAAATTGTACATTTTAAATGAATGAATTGTATGGTATGTGAATTATATCTCAATAAAGCTGTTAAAAACAAATACAATGGTATGAATTGAGATAATCTTTATTCAAAAAATTGAAATAAAAAGGAATTTATCCCAAGGAAAATAATTTCTTTTAGAAATGAGAAAATTTGAAACAATTTAGTTGTATTATAGAGAAACTTATGAAATTAAATTTTAATAAAGGAGTTTGCTCCAGAATACTTTCTCTTAAAAATGAATCTGTGATCGTAAAATTTGGGTGACAAATTTTGCATTCTAAGTAGTAGCAGATTCAAAATGTTCTGGTTGCCTTCAAACCTCTTTGATCTTCTTGTTCTCAGAACTCCTCTGGTACTCATTGTCTGTATTACTTATTGGCAATTAACCAGATACTTCTTCTTAATCTGGAGAAGATGATTATCCTGTGAAGGGTCACTTGAGTGGCCTTCTTAGTAGAATAAATACAGCAACCTCCTCCCCCCATTCTCCTAGAATTAGGGTTTTATAAAATCTTTTATGTTTTAAGTCAGTTAGCAAATGTTTCCTTCCACCATGTTTCACAGAGCTGGTAGCTGGGCAGGAGTGAACCAGTTTTACCCAGAGCCTTCCAGAATGGAAGGGAAAGACATCTGATTTGTCTTCCCTGAATTTAAGGTCAAGGAGTCTTGTTGAGGAAAGCATGGGGGGAGTCTGGTCATAGCCTAGGAGCTGGGAGAAAGGCCCCTTGAAATAAAATTATTCTGAGTAAGCAGGAGTCTGACTGGAGGCCTAGACAAAGGTCTAAGTGCTTTGGCGACACAGGATGTAACGGATGCTGGATGCCCTGTAGTTCAATCTCCCTAGAACTGTGTGGGGTTTGAAGACAAGTGTTGAACCTTGACTTGTGACCTGAGAAGACAGTAGTCTTGGTGCCTAAAGTGGTTCCTTATGATAAAGTGCGTCTTGAGTGGTGATAGTCACGAAATGTCTCAAATGGTGCAGCAGCATTTAACAATAACATTTGTAATAGCACTTATAATACTGTCCTCCTTTTCTTTCCAATTGGCATTTGAAGGATGGGGTTCCTGTTGAACTGAAAGAAACATGGGTAACATGCCTCTATTTCCATATTGCTCCTGTGTCTAGGTGTTCTATCCATTATTGAAAGTGAAATATTGAGGTCTCCAACTACATGAGTGAAACTATCTAGTTCTCCCTTCAAATACATCAGTGCTGGTGTCATATAGTTTGAGGCTCTATTGTTTGCTGCATATATGTTACAATTGTTATGGCTTCTTGAGGAATTTACCCTTTTATTAATAGAGTTGGTGCCTGATTTACAATAGTTTGACTTACAATTTTTTGACTTTACAATGGTATAAAACCATTGCACTTTTGACTTAATGTGTAGTACTCAATAAATTACATAAGATATTCAAAACTTTGTTATAAAATAGGCTTTGTGTTAGATTATTTTGTCCAATTGTAAGCTAATATACATTTTGGACTTAAGATATTTTCAACTAATGATAGAAATAGAAAAGAATTTATCTCAAGGAAAATAATTTCTTTAAAATAAAAAAATGGAAAAATTAGAAACAATTTAACTGTGTATAGAGAAAATAATGAAATTAAATTTGGATTTACCCCCATCATAAATTGGGGAGCATCTGTATATTATGTCCTTTTTTTGTCTTTTATTATAATTTTTCTTTTTGAGACAGGGTCTCTCTCTGTTGCCTAGACAGAAGTGCAGTGGCACAATTATAGCTTACTGCAACCTAAAACTCCTGGGCACAAGCAATCCTCCCACCTTCACCTCCCAAGTAGCTGGGACTACAGGCACGCACCACCATGCCCAGCTAATTTTCTTACTTTTCGTAGAGATAGGGTCTCACTATGTTGTCCAGGCTTGGTCTCTCAAAGTGCTAAGGTTACAGGCATGAGCCACTGCAACTGGCCTACAACAATTTTTGGCTTAAAGTATATTTTTTCTAATATTAGTATAACCTTCCAGCTGTCTTTTGGTTACTGTTTACAGGGAATATCCTTTTCCATTCTTTCATTTTCAACCTATTTGTTCATAGATCTTAAGTGAGTCTCATGTAAACAGCATATCGTTGGGTCAGGAGACTCTTAAAACTCAACTTGTTAAAAATGTGTGATTTTTCAGCTGCTTTCTGGTTATTTCCAAATAACTGATTAACTCATGAACAGATATTTATTGAGAAGCTACCAGGTACAAAGCAGTATACTATAAACTCTCTCTCTCTCCCCCTTCCTCCCTCTCTCTCTCTCTCTCTCTCTCTCTGTGTGTGTGTGTATGTGTGTGTGTGTGTGCATGTGATAAACCTTGCTCTCCCTGCAAGAGCTTAGAGTCTGGCTGGGGTGATAAGAGGCACATATATGAAGCAGTAGGGACTGTGACATAGCAGATACAGTTAGGAGCTGACTGTGGTGCTGCTCACAGGACGTCAGAGAAGGGAGCCTGTAGCAAGGGTTGCAGGAGTCAGAGGAAGCTTTGGATAGCAGGAAGCTTTGGATAGAGAAAGAACGGGAGCAAGACCTGAAGGATGGGTAAGGTTTGGATTGACTGAAAGAGAGGGGCTATGCCCACCAGGATTATTGACCTGGGTGCAAGTATAGAAGCAAAAAAAGCATATTGTATTCAAGGAACTATGGTGGGCTGATGTGGAGTATGGGTGAGAGGAGAGGGAAGAATCTCTTTGTTATAATCCAGGACCTCCATTGGTGGCCTCTCAGCCTTTCTGTACAACTTTAGGGCATAGACTAACTGACCCTGTGAAACCCAAAGGTGAATTTTTTCCTTCCAGAATGAGAGTCACATATACAATATAGGTTGACTCAGGCTTGATAAAGCCAATTTTATGGCAAACTTTGTTTCCACACAAACATTGCCACACTGAAAGACATAAGCTATATCTGCAGGGGATCAGGAAGACAAATTAGGAACATACTGGGTGTAAAGTTAGGGGCTCTGATATTAAAACCTCCCTGGGCTCAGTTGCCACATCTGTCTTTGTGAAGAATGCACTATGTCATCTTTAAGTCACCATAATATTTGAGGATTAATGAAGCCACTGATTGCTGCCTGTTGATAGGGAGTTTGGAAATGAAGACAAGAATCCTAGAGTGAAGAGTAGCCTTAAAGCTTTGAGGGCAACTCCTTATTTCCTAATCCTCTTGTCCAGAAAGTTGTGGATTCCTTGTCTGAATGTCTCTATGGAGTCCTGTCTTCTAATGCTGAATCATTCTTTATTAAGAAGTGATTTTTAAAAAATGGTTTTTAAATATTTCAACTCTTTCTTATTTTAAAATCGAATCTAAATTTTTTTGTGCTCTAGGTAAGGTCATATATGAATTGATTTTGTCTCAAATGGATTTTGATATAACTTTTAAAGACTGTATTAAGTAATACATAATTAAATTCTAATGTGACTTTTAAAAACTATAAAAAGTAATGCATAATTAACTTCGAATAATTGGAAAATTCAGGAAAGCTAAAAATAAGAAAACAAAAATTACACCCAATTCTATCCCATTATGCAGAAAAAATTACTGTTATCAATCATTTTAATGATTTTACTGCCTAGTTGGCTGACTCTGCCTATCCATATATACGTACACATATTTGACTTTAGTAAAGTTATAGGTTATTTTACATACTACTTTAAACTTACTTTTTAATTTAACATCATATATCATTCAAGACACCTTTTGATTTAAACATATTTGTTGAGCACCTACTATGTGCCAAGCACTGTTCAAGGTACCTGAGATTGTCCAATGAACATAGACCTTATATTACTTTTATGTCAATAAATACATACAAAGTATCATTTGTTGGCCTAGTGTCCTCTAAAAGAAAGCTGTAGCTGAATTTCTCATTGGTAGGTATTGCTGGATTTTTAAGGTTTCCTACTCTTCCCTCTTCTCATCTTTAGTTCATCATTCTTTTTTTCCCCCATTAAAATATCAGCAAATGTTTGAGTTTGGCTTCTCAGTGAGACTTCTAGTTCCCACCCAAATCTGTTCAACCTCTTTTTTAGCAACAGAACACCCATTTTATTTGAGATGTCACTGTGACCAGTTAAAAGACCCTATTTTCCATTCTCCCTTATAAGGTGAAACTGTATTTTTTTTTTTTTTTTTTGAGACGGAGTTTCGCTCTTATTACCCAGGCTGGAGTGCAAGTGAAACTGTATGTTTAAGTTTTAGAAAACAAAGCACAAAATATTAAAAAAAGGCTGCATAAAGGAAGCTAATTTCTTTCCACCATTTCTCTTTCCTCAGTCATGCTTCCTAGAATATGGATGTGATGTCCAGGACTCTGGCTGCCATCTTGAGTCATGAGGTGACTTTCAGGATGGAAGCCACAGTGTGAAGGAGCAAGTTCCTGCTTGAATGAGTCTGAGACTGGAATTGAGACCTTCAAATATGGTGAGACAATCAACAGGCCTGACCTTCATTTGCTTCAATTTTTTCCTCTCGTTTCCTGATCTCCCCTCTTCTCTCAGGTGTTTGTACCTTGTGTTCTCATTATGGTTGACTTTCCTGTGGGATTTCCCCTCCATTTGGTTCCTCCATTTTCTTGCAGTTGAGAGAGATGAAATGTCAATAACTTTTCTAATCCAAAGCCAACAGGCTGTCAGAACCAAGAACAAAAACAAAGCAAGGGAGGAGGGTTTAGGAGAAAGATGCTACGAGCTATGAGCTAATATCTCATCATTTGAAAGAGCCAGGAATCTAAGAATATTGAACTAATCTTTTTAGGGAGAGCATTTGTTTTAGCTAGGCAACTCTAGAAAGGGGATGAGACCCAGAGGAGGAAAGAATGGAGGATGTCATTGAAGAGTAGATAGATTATGGAAGCAATGATTTTTATAATCAAACCATTCTCATTTATTAACTTGCCTGTGGGTTGCAAAACGTGCAAAGATGAGATTTGTTCATTAGACATTAAGTAAAACTGAATGCTGAAAATGGATCATAGTATAGAACATGATGTTTGATATAAAGAAATGCATAGGAAACTTTGGGTAACTGTTTTACTTGCTAACAGCCCAGAAATGAGCACTGATGAGTGGGGAAATTGGAGGAAGGGTGTGTAGTTGGGGATGGTGTCTGGAGGGGTAGCATTGATGGAGTTAGGTGTGGGGATGAGGTGGGGAGAAGAGTCTTGGGGATGTCTTTCCAGGTATTACATGAGTCAATAGAGCTTCTGGGGGAAGGAATGTTTCTTGTGAATAGAAGATCTTCACTATAGTTGAGCATATGAGTGTGATCAGTCAGCTTCCCTTCTTCTCCCTCCCTCCCTCACTCTCTTCCTTCCTTCTTCCTATACAACAAATATTTTTAAACCTCTACTCTATGCCAGGCACTGTGCCGTTAAGGATCCTAACTCATTTAAAATTGCCTTTATATTAATGACTAGGTAGGAGGGAGGGTGGGAGTACCATTAGGGGCTGTTGGAACAGCAGATAAGGAAGCTAAGGCCCAGAAGGGCAGTCAGAAGTACTCACCTAGTAGTGTATTTGCAGTCTTCATCAACCGAACAGTCCCCTGGGCTAGCTGACCTGGAAGTGGACGGTATTCTACCTCCTTATAGTCCTGGAGCCTCCTGCCTGCAAGTTCCCTGGGGCTCTTATTGAATATGCAGGCCTTTCTGTTCAGTGTATTCAGCAACTCAGAGCCTTATAGTAGAACAATTGGAGGAGAATTGCCAGATGGAGATGAGGGAGATGAGGGAGAATGAAAGGGAAGACAGAAGACAAAAGCTAGAGAAAAGAACAGCTCAAGAAAGGTTTGCTGGAAAGTTCAAATTTTTCCATGCATATTGAACAAGAAGAAAAGTGCTGAATAAATGCACACTCAGACATTGATTACAGTCTGGGTGGGGCTGTCTCATTACATGAGCCCGCATTATGTTATACTTAAAAAGCATAATATAGTGTAACCTGAGGGTAATAAGCCAGTCAAAGCACTTGCAGGATTCACCCTGGGAGCTATAGCCACCCTTGGCATTCTTCATAAACAGATTTTTCTTCATAAACAGATTTTTCATAAACAGCCTGAGAAAACCCCTCAGGCTGGGGTGGAGGAGGCCCCCTCCCCACTCTGAGTGAAAATGCCAGGATTCGAGTGACTCTCTCCTCTCTTCTCAATTCTCTTAACGGAAGCTACACCTCAAAGGGCCTCAGGTTCATTGAAAGGATCCCAGTTTGGTTTGCTCATTTCTTTCTCCATCAAGTATTATGGAACACCAACTACATGCTAGACATGTGGCTAGGTGCTGGATACAAGAGCCAAAACTAATTTGGTTTCTGCCTTCATTGAGCTTCAGGATCAAAAATTACACAAGTCAATGAAAAATGACCATGGTAACAATGGCTATGAAGAAAGATTATATTGTTTCAGAAGATGCATATAGGGAGCTTTGACCTAGGCAGGGCTGAGACAGGTAGGCATTCACCAGGAAGAGGGTGGGTGAATGCCAGAGGGCAGCTGTGCACAGGGAATGGCATGCCAAGGCTGTTGGCAGGAGGAGAGAACTGCGGAAGACCACTATGGGAGTATTTGGGGCTGGGCAGGGGCCTGACCCTACAGGGCTTTTGGAAGCTCTGTTACTGGAAAGGGGTCCCAATCCAGACCCCAAGAGAGGGTCGTTAGATCTCATGCAAGAAAGAATTCAGGGCAAGTGCACAGACTACAGTGAAAGTAAGTTTATTAAGAAAGTTAAAGAATAAAGAATGGTTACTCCCTAGACAGAGCAGCCCCAGAGACAGGTTGCCCATTTTTATGGTTATTTCTTGATTATATGCTAAACAATGGGTGAATTATTCATGTCTCCCCTTTTTAGACTATATAGGATAACTTCCTGATGTTGCCATAGCATATGTAAACTGTCAGGGCACTCATGGGAATATAGCAGTGAGGACGACCAGAGGTCACTGTTGTCACCATCTTGGTTTGTGGGTTTTAACCAGCTTCTTTACTGCAAGCTGTTTTATCAGCAAGGTCTTTATCACCTGTATCTTGTGCTGATGTTCTATCTCAACCTGTGACTTAGAATGCCTGCCTGGGAATGTAGCCCACTAGGTTTCAGCCTCATTTTATGAAGCTCCTATTCAAGATGGAGTTGCTCTGGTTCCAACACCTCTGACAGCTGCATAAGAATTCCTAAGAAAAAGGGGAAGCCATGGTGTTCTAAGCAGAGGGTGATGGACTCACCAGCTCCTTCTGCCTCTCCCAAGGTCTCACTGCGAGTTAAGAGAAGCCTGTTCAGAGCCCTGACTCCCTCTCTCTTGCACTTGCCCCATCTAGGGATACCCACTGCCATTCATTCAGCCTTAGAAATTCCTCTCAAATGGATGTTTCCTGCTTCCTGAGCCTACTGCCTCTGCCAGAGTGGGAGGCCTAGCCTTTCCAACACTGGATTGTTGCATCCTTCTGTTCCTCCACTTGACAGTCTTCCCTCTGCAACCCACCCTCCATGACTGGTTTCCTTCCTAAAACACACACTGACCTTTGCCTGGCTCCCCAGAGCCTAGAGAAGAAATCCCAGTCTCATTTAAGGAGCTCCCAATGCTCTGCTCCTTTTGACCTAACTTACCTGTTGCCTTATCTCCTTTCTCCCCAAATTCTTCCTGCCTTCCCTGTACATCTGATGCTATAGCCCCAAGGACCTTCTCAGCTTTCCCCAAACAACACATCATCTCTGCTATTCTGTCTTCCTAGAACACCCATCCTTCCCTCTTTTTACTGGAAAACTGTAACCATAATAGGTCCATTGTTTGATGTGCGGAGCAAGGCAATACACCAAGATACTGGGCTGCAGCAGAGACAAGAGATTTAATTGTAGTGTTGTATTTGACCGAGTGTAGAAAGTTATCACAAGACAAAAGTATGTCAGATTACAGGGTCATTTTATTATGCCGGCGACCACAGAGGACTCACGTCTCTCCAACCTGTGG